CTTCTATGTGAAGCTCCGTGTGCTTTATTGATCCCGGCTTCACAATTAATTAGGTGTGAACGATAGCCATGTGATGTATCAGTCACCTGGAGGCAGGACTCAAAAGCCTGAATTTTGCCTGAAACTTTCAGACTGAAGAAGTCTCTTGGAAGAGAGACGAAACGTTTCATTAAAGAAGAACCCGTCCAGAGGACCTATACAATTTTTTTCCTTGCAATTTCTTTAGGTTTTGTTGATTTCTTCATCATCATCGGAAACAAAAGCCAATCTAAATATTTTGACATCGCATCATCCTCTTCTTCCACCAGAGATTGATGTTGAGTTCACAAACAACCTGAAGGTTCTGGTCCCCTGGCTCCTCAGTCCTCGGAACATCGACGTGAAGGAGATCAACGGCAGTAAAATCACCTGCAGAGGCCTGGTGGAGTACTTCAAGGTCAGATCCAAACATCTCCTAAAATCAGTTTGTACAACTGCAGTCATGAGGAAAAGAAAGTCCACTCTCTTCCATTTCTTAGGTTTTAATTATCAGGAGGGTTCTGAAATGTTTCAAATTTAACCTGAAAGGAAGTCAAATACGACAAACTGTTGATTAAACAAAACCAAAGAGCTGTCTGACAAACTGCCCAACCTTTCTACTTTCACAGGTGCTGCTGATCACATGATTAACTGATTATTAACAGTCTGACCACTTCTATACAGCAGGTTACATCATCCATCCTGGTAATCCTTCTGTTATTATGGCAAAGAACACGACATTTCATTGGATTTTTTTTATTCAATTAATTGCAATAAATCTCCAAAAATTGTGAGTTAGATACCAAAACTCTGAATATTTTTCCAAAAAATCTTTTTGTACTTTTTTTTATTGTGTTTATGTGACTTTTTTGTGTGTTGGTTTTATTGGACCGGGGGCTGAACTCAGTTTTTCATGCTCAGCTTTACTGTTGTGAACTTGTTTTTGTTTAATAATTACAACTTTGCTGAATCTGTTGTGTGTTTTTGTTCACTTGTGGTCAGATTTAAATCATTTCAGAACCTGGTAAAAACGGATTGCTTTATCAAGTCCTGATACTGAAAATCCAGTGAAAATAATGTAGATTTTCTTTTTTTCCTATGACTGTTTTTGTGACACAACTTCTGATTTATAGAAGTTTTTAAAAATTCTAAACTTCTAAAATATGCCCCCTCTACGTTTTCTCTGTGCTGCAGGCGTACATCAAAATCTACCAAGGTGAGGAGCTGCCACATCCTAAATCAATGCTACAGGTATTTAATATTTGTCTTGTTTCAAAGCATATAATACTGTAACTAACCCTAACTGCACTTTTTATTGTTAATATTAATCATAACTGTAACTCAGTTCGTTTGACAGACTTTGATCTAAAATTTGGTTTGGTTCTAGTTGAGAATCATTCCCAGCTCTTACTTCAAACACTAACCAACTGTGTGAGGTCTGTTTTTAAAACTTTACCATTAACTACTGGAGCCATTCTTGTCTTTTAGTTAACAAAACCTCTCATGAACCACTGGGCAGATTTTAATGAAAACTGTTGTAAAGTAATCACTGGATGTTTATTTACCAATGATTGACTTTAGGAGTCATCTTAATGCAAGATGGCCACCGCAGCTAATCAACATTAACTAACAAAAGCTCTACTTCATTGAGTTTGACAGATATTGAGCTGTAATGTGCTAGTAGCTGAGAATCATACACATTCTGTGCGTGAAATCCACAGCRTAAAAGATGGGCGTGCTCTGGTGAGCGCGTGCACAGATACCTGTAACTTCCGTCTTTATGAAAAACGAGAGAAGGAATAAATCTAACGCAGTGTAAGTAATTAGCGCTATATACACTGAACAAAAATATAAACGCCCCATGTCAAAAATAAGAGTTTCATGGACATTAGAGTTACGCAATATATAGAGAAACTCAAAGTATATTTTCAGTAATTACTGATCTTCATATCGGCATTGATAAAATCGTGGTTTGGCCATTTGTAGTGTATTGACAGTCTTTTGAACATGATAGGGGTCAGGTTGAGGAGTTTGATTTGTCAGTCTCTTGTGTGTCCTCCAACTGCGTCTCTCAGAGCAACAGATTTTCGTATGGAGTTGATCAGATTGTCTATGGTGGCCTGTAGAAGGTTATTCCATTCCTCCTGGAGTGCCACACAGAGCTGACCCACATTGCCTGGGACTGGAACATGGTCCCGGACACGCCTATCCAGAACATCCCAAAGATGCTGTATTTTGGACATGTCTGGTGAATATGGAGGCCAGTCCTGAACTTCAATGTCCTCTGAAGGAATTCCATGCAGATGTGGGTAACATGAGGTCGGGCATTGTCATGTTGAAAAGTGATGTCTTGTTGGTGCACAAACAACACAACAATTAGGGTGAGAACCTTGTCCCGATATCTTTGTGTATTAAAGTTCCCTTCAATGAAGTGCAATGTGTTCTAGGCCCGTATGTGATGCCTGACCATACCATAATGCCACCACTTCCATGGGCAACCCTGGGCATGACATTTGCATCTGCAAACCACATGTGCCCAGCAAAAGCTGGGTAACCCACGCATTGCCAGACACACTGTCTTACATCTGCATGATACAACTGGAACTTGGATTCATCCGTGAACATCACTCTTCTCCRGCATGTTAAAGGCCATTGGACATGTGCTTTCGCCCATGTGAGTCGGTTCCTACACCAGACAGAAGTGAGATCCAGACCACAGAGAGGGCTCTGAGCATGCAGATTGGCTTCTCATAGGTGGTTACGGACAGTCTGAGGTGTGACGTGTCTGTTGTGCAGACCAATAGCGTCATCAGCTGTCTGTGTCGCTGGTCTTAGCCGATCCCGCAGATGGACGAGCCAGATGTGGTGATCTTGTGCTGGAGTGGTCACACGTGGCCGACGAGGATGAGGTCGATTTGCAGTAGTGCCAGTCTACGAACTCTTATGGTGCGTTCACACCAAACGCGATTTCAGCATCAGGAGCATCAGGTTTACATRCAAAGTCTATGGTGGACGCGCTTCAAGCAGCATCAGGAAGTGCTGCGGTGCCTCAAGCGTGATAAGAGCAGCGCGATTTGAACAATTTGAACGATCTGAGC